GCGGTGGCAGTTCCAGCGGCAGCGTGTCCAGCACGGACGACCGGAAGACGCCGGCGGCCAACAGGCGCAAGCGCGGCGAGGTGTACGTGTAAACGTGCTCCGTTCCGTTTGCTCCTTGTTACCMCCGTTAATTGTAATTACATAATTCATAATATTATAATGAACAATTATTAGTCATTGTTGTTATGTGTGCCCGGGATTGACGGTATTCCTTTGTTGTTGTTGTTTCCGAAGAAAGATCTATTTCAGTCTAGAAATATCGGCGGAAGCGATCCGCCGACGGAGGTTGTAATAATTTGGCCTCTGGGTGGGTGAGCGAGGAAGCTATAAGATATTATGATAATATTTTGATTTTTAACGAAATATTCTTTTTTTATGGGACTGAGTTTATAGGACAATGGACGTACCTAAGGCTTTGTATATACGGTCTCCCGTTGATCACATATTATTTTGAAGTTTCATGAAAATAATTCATCCACAAGTGTAAATAATTTTCTATATTTTAGCATTCGCTAAAGTGTAACACTAAATTTTTTCTTCCGAATTAAACAGAGCGAATCAAATTTAGTAAAAAAACATCCAAGTATCCCTATTGGCCATTATTATTTCTCTGATGCCCTCGACACACGACACTTCAATGTTGAAACTTTTTTCGCCGGGCTAAGTGATGATGATGATCGTTTTACTATTGCGGCCATTGGTGTGCAAATATTTCAAAGTATGGACAACAGACAATAATACTATAACGGCCTCAAATGTCCGTATCTAGTAACATAATATTAAATGCGTATAAAAAAAAAAGTCRTGTCATCTTAACGCTCCGTATTTTTACTTATTGTCTGTAATTCGTGTCTATGGCGCTATATTATATGACACTACTTTTTGTCAGATTTGATGAGAGAACATTTTTGGTGCCACCCTTAGCGCTGTGATCCAATATATAGGCCTTCATCGTGTAATCCAGTATCTACTTCCGTGGTTATGAGTATATATAGTGGAAATGATATACCTATTATTATTATATGTTATAATTAAGGCGGACACTGTTATATTTGGTGAATGTTGTTTACAAAAGCGGTTATAAGGGTTGGGTATTATGTATATCGGTTAGGTTTTCGCTATTATTTTCAATCTCCGGTTGATATAGTATAATAATATTGTATATACAATTTAATAAATGGAGTAATGTKCGTGTTTTACGCGATAAGATATTTTTTCAAAAAAATCTTTGTTACCTAAATATATTGTTATTATATCGCTATAGGACATAGGTAGTCGCTATTGGTAATAAATTATTTATTGCGCGTTCGGAATAATGTAGGTAGGTCGTTGGTACCATTTCGAATGAGAAGACTGTTGACGATGTGTATATACCTACTGCGTGTGGTGCATAATCGAAACCACGTAAGTATAGTAGGTATAGGCATACATAGATATTATATCGTCAGCYTCAGACTGTATTTTCCTATAATATATTATTATGTCAAATAATATTAACGATAACGGGCTATACCTACCTGAATTCATATTATATACGATGATACGGTATAGTATAATTTATTATCTATGTGTATAGACTCGTGCGAAAGTGTCGCGAAGATAGTAAACACAAGCTATATCGTGACTATCGTATTAAAAGGCTAATCGAGTAGTGAAATATTATGTGATTTAGGTAAGAATTTTTACTGTAATACGAACTTATGTATTCCTGTTGTATTATTGTATGCATTACGTAGAAATAATAATATAATAATAATATTGTTTACATGAGAAAATCACGACCATGATGTACAATATTATTATATTGCAATAGTATTACAATATAGTATACGTGACTACGATAAGAGATGAAACGATGCTGTACATTTTTTTAGTTTAAAAAAATAATATATATATATATAATATTATGTAACCCTTAAGAGTCAAATTATTATGAAATTTGCTCAATTTGAACAATTATATATTAATTTATAGAGGCATGTCTATAGGTAGGTATATAAATCGCGACTGTATATAATATTATATATATATATATATAAATTAGACATAAACCAATTATATATGTATATTATATTCTAATAGCTAACCCAACATATATATTTAACATATATATTATTATCATAAAATATAATACGTTTCTATATGTATATATTATATAAATATTTAATGTATATTTGTATACTCTATATGTATACGATTTACAATAGGTTCTATATATTAAGCACACATATTTGTATATATTATTAGTGTAAGTATATATATTATATTTACCATTGTTTTAAAAACATTATAATGTTAATGTGATAAACGTTTAATTATTAGATTTTAACAAATAGCAATATAATAGGTACACCTGTATAATAATAATGTATTTATTATGTAATAAAATGAACAAAATGTGATACTTAATCAAAACACCAAATATGCCGTCCAATATGTATCTATCATTATAATATTATGTCTGTGTATAGTATAATATACGATGTTGTGTAATCTATAATTGAAGTAACTACGTTTTTTTTTACTTTAGCATATACCACCTACCTATTAATATTAAACCATACGATAACTAACAATTTTTTTGATTACGTTACTCATAAAATCTGCCACACAATCGTCGTGTAGAGACAAAATCAATTTAAAAACCATACAAAAAAAAAAAAAAACTTTGTTTATAATAGTTTGACTTGGACGCATTTCGTGTTACCCTCGTTTTACGATAAGGTGCGACGCAATACGAGGGACTGGTACGCCATTCGTATTCACCGCCTCGCCGGTACAATAATTAGTGTGTTGTAAGGACTTAGGACTTTATGTATATGTATAGGTATACCTCTGACTATATTCGCATGCAACTTACACGGTATAACGAAATAAACCATGTTTACTCGACCTTGGAATAATCACCTAACGTATCGGGAGAATTTTATCTCGGATATAATATAGTTTTGTGGTATTTAAATTATAATATATTATGATATCTGYGACCAGTTTGAAAACTTTTATAGTTTTGGTTGTTTGTTGTTTTGCGCACACTTTTTTTTGCAGTTAAATACAATATAATAAATAATATTATATTATTATATATATTATGAATATGGTCTTATTGGTCTCTATATACATAATATTTTTATACACCGAAACATTAAGTTTTTAAACGAAAAATAATTACAGACCTATAATTATATATTATTATTGTGTGTGAGGTGTATTATTAAAATTTTAAAATACKACTCATTTCACTTTTTAATGAACAGTRGGTACATACATTTTTCAAGGTTAATGTGTAATTTTGCAAACAATAAACCCGTTCAATTACAGATTTCTCGGCGAATTTATTAAGTTATTTAGTCGGTATATTGTTGTGAAACCCTAAGAACACGAAAGAGCAATTCATTAAGATTGAAAAGATTGTAAATTTATAAATKTTATAATATTGATGTACATTCAGTGGTATAATACCTTCTTGATGGCTTATTAGTCAATAGWATGCATGATTACGCGTGTATCTACTATCAAATTACTCCCACRTGGACTTGGCTGAAAAATATGAATAAATACCGACAACAATAATGCAATGTTATAATAAATGTTTAGGTAATATATATAATATTTAAACGTAAAAACAAGATAAAAACTAAGGAAAACTGTACAAGCACCGAAACACGTATACATAAACGTCTACTACTGTTAAAAAAAAAATACATAGATACAATTAGTTTAAATACACAGTTTAAGTAAGATAGAAAATC